CAGTGGCAGCAGTAGCAGTAGCAGTAGCAGTAGTAGCAGTAGCAGTTGTAGTAGTAGTAGTAGTAGTAGTAGTAGTAGTGGTGGTAGTAGTAGTAGTAGTAGTAGTAGCAGTGGTAGTAGTGGTAGTATAGGAGTAGTAGTGGTAGTATAGTAGTAGTAGTAGTAGTAGTAGTAGTAGCAGTAGTAGTAGTAGTAGTAGTAGTAGTATACCAAGAGCAGGAGCAGGAGGGTAGCAGTACTAGTACTAGTCCTCGTTACTACGACAACGACTACCACGACCATTGCAACTACGACTTCAAATGCGGCTACGACGACGACGACGGCGCATGCTACTGCTGTTGCTGCTGCTACTGGCTGTTGCTGCTAATGCCGGTACTGTTGATACTGCTACTGCTGCTGTTGCTGCTGCTACTACTGATATCTACTGATATCTACTGATGATATATTTTCGTGTTGTTTTCAATCCAACCGGGTTTTTTCCCGCATGGAGGTGACCAGAATGCGCAAGACATGGTTACCCTCCGCTTCGTGTCCGCCCTCAAAGCCTTCCGCGCCATTCGGATGGTTCGGAGCTTCCGGTTTTCGCCAGGACTTCGCATGCTTGTCAAAGCCTCCTGGCCGATCGGAGTTTAGGTCCTGTGCGATGCCTAGCGGCCTATAGCTGGCGATTCGAAAGGGCTGCGGTTGCCTCCGCATGTTTATACTCTCGAGCTCATGTGGTCTTGCTGTTGGCATTCTGAGGTCTTGTAACGCCCGAACCACGCGGTACCCCAGCAAAGCAACACAAGTGAGTTTTTGTTCAAGATTTCGCGACACCTGCAGACGTGATACTCCGCCCCGGAGTTTTTGCTGTCGCTTGCTCAGTTTCTCCAACATATTTGTCAGCTTTGTCCAAGCGCAGCCCCATCATAGCACGAAGTGAAGCGAACCCAATCTGTAGGAGGGATGTTGCGATGACCAGGAGGGCATGCGGTCCCAATCATGCAAACCACAATTTTTTTGCAGGCATGAAGGCTTTTTCAGGTTTCAGCGGGAGATAGCAGCTAGATGGTTGTAAAACGAAATAGCAAATGATGTTATTAAGGGGCCGGACCTCTGCCCCCCAACGTTTGAAGCGCAGGCTTGCCAATGTTGCTTACCATCCCTTTGCTGGTCAATGCTTCTCCTTGCAGTGTTCATGTGCATGGGCGCCTTGATTCTGGGCAATCTGCTACAGGATTACATCAGAGATGGAGCACAAAGCATGGTCGACAGGCAATGGGTGTGGGAACGATATGGAACGACTTATCGGGCGACGTATACACTGTACGAAATCACCTTTGCAGGCGCCAGAGATTGTTCGCTCGTTTCAGTCCTATAGTAGGTTCGATGTCCGCATGGACATCCCAAGTAATACCCCTATGGTGAACCGCCTCCATCTCGCGACTGACAAAACCATACAAAACCAAAGTTTCCACAGGAAATTGGCCCACGAATGTGCGCCCAATCCTGGACAAGGTCAGTCACGCCTTCGTCATCTTCTACTTGCTGTACATAACAGTTATTGTATTCGCAGTTATACGTGTGATATCGGCGATCTTCTTGAAGGCCGGGCTCCTGGCAGAAAGAGATGTTTTGTATTCGCAATGCTGGGTGCAAGACTGCAATGCAAGAAGGCATGTTGTAGGATGGGCAAGTAACAAATTAGCTCAAGCTGGTAGCAAAGGGTTAAGGCATGTGCCCGGCTAGTGCTTTAAGTCACCGCCGCCCCTTGTCGGGAGGACACGCTGGACGAAGCTAACAATGATGCTCAACATCTTGTGCTCGACCGCATGCGCAAGAGGGCGGTGTATGTCCAACGACTAGAGGCTGTTTTCCACGCTATTATCGAGCACGATCACGAGGGGCAGGACAAAAATGTATTGACGGAGCAGCGCTTGGTTGAGATCTTGGCAGACCCGAAAGTCAAAGCATATTTTTCAACGTTGGAAATCGATGTACAAGAAAGCGCAGCCTTGTTTAATCTCCTTGATAACGGAGATGGCCAAGTGACTTTAGAGGAGTTCATCAACGGGATCATGCGGTGCAAAGGACCTGCAAGGGCTATCGATACCTTTGCTTTGCATTCTGATGTCAAGCAGTTGGACGCTAAGCTGCGGGCTTTGATGCGAATGAACCATCTTAGCCAAGGCAACTTCGCAGCAGTCGCTTCAATTCGATGTTCCGCAAGACGTCATGCATTACACAAACGGCCCCAGGTCAGCCGTGAAGCAAACCACGAGATCCACACTGAGTCACTGAGGTGAACCACCAGAAAAGCCAGTCGCCAAGATCCTGACGCAGGAAGACAGCCCTTGGGAGAACCCAGCGGAGTCTTGGTCCAATTCGGAGACCTCAGGAACAGGAACCCGACAAGTTCGTTATTATAGAAACAATGACAAGAAAACAATCTCAATGTTCTTGCTTTTGTTCTGATCTTGTTTTAGACGTAGACGTAGAAGTAGTGGTAGTAGTAGTAG